ATTGGCCGCGCCGCCTGGCGACATCCTGCCCGTGCCCCGCCCATTGGCCGCGCCGCTCGATGACGTCCCACCCGCGCCCGTGAGTTGCGTCCATTGGCCGCGCCGTCTGACCACGTCCCGCCCCCGCCCACAAGGCATGCCGGGATGCGGGCCCCGCCCATGCGCCGAACGGGCTGTGGGGGCTTCACGGGCGCCCTGACCTTGTCAAGGTTACGGCGCGGGCAAGTGACGGGCCGAGGGATGCAGAGCTCAAGCCCGCCCCCAGACCCCTGCCGAACCGAGAGGACCATCTCGTTTCTCCCGGCGAGCGTGCCGAACCCTCCCAAGTGCGCGACACGTGATGCCCCGGCCCTTGACCCCCGAACTCCCCCCCGCGGCCGGCTTGTGGGAGCTGCAGCCCCTCCCCGTGTACACCTGTTGACCAAAGGGGTCTCTGACTCTTCCCTGAGGACCCTCGCCGCGTGGGCTGGGAGCGGCCTGGGTCGCCCCCTGCCCCAACTATGGGTCCCCCAGGGCCCAGGCGGTCGCGGCCTAGTTTCACCTGGAAGGCCGGGCCCTGAGATGGACTTTTGGGGGACAGGGGGCCGGAGGCTGCCCACTCACACGCGCAGGGGCTCCCGTGTGCTCTCGCGTGCACACACGGGCACACAGGAGCGTGAGCACACATAAGAGCATGCACATACACAGGGGCATGCAGACACGAGCACGCACACGAGTGCACCGCAGCACGCACGCACATACACGTGCACATCCCTGGGGGAAGCCCGAGGTGTTCAAATGGTGTGAACTTTGTATTGGCGTGTAGCAGCAGTTTTATTGAAGTCTGACACTTAGGTACGTGTGGCGTGTAGCAGCAGTTTTATTGAAGTCTGACACTTAGGTACGTGTCCTGAAAGTGTCACTGGGTGCACAGTCACAAGCTGAACACAGTCGTGTACTAGCGCCGAGGTCAGGAAAGACCTCAGCTGTTGGATTCTTACCTTCTTCATCTCTCTCTCCACCTCGTTATTTTCCCTTTTTACGTCGTCTTTCCTCCCTTTTTTCTTCCTTTCCCTCTGTCCCCCCTTTCCCTCCCTCCCTTCCTTCCTTCCTCTCTTCCCTCTTCTATCTCCTTTTCTTTTTTGTGGCTTGTATCCCCAGAACGTAGAAATTCCCCACAGCTCAGCACTGAATGAACCGCCCAGAAGCGCCCCGGGCATCTGCCTGAGCCCGTGATTTCACCTGTTCCAGCGTTCTTGTAAAATGCCTTCCTTAGTCTTGTCCTGACCTTGAGGTATGCGTGGGGCCTGAGGCTGGGGCAGGGTTTCAAGGCTGCTCACCTGCCGGGGAGTGCAGACAGAGCTCAGAAGTCACATAAAAGGTGAAGTCTGGCCTTGGGGTCATTGCTGTGGGAAGGGCCTTGGAGATTCCAGCACATTCTTAAGTCGTCATGGGGACAGTGGTCAGAGAATGTCCCTGGAGGGCCAGCCAAGCTTCCTGCGGGGACTGAGGTTTGGAGGGCAGTGGATTCTGGGCAGGGACAGGGAGTTTGCCTAGGGGACTGTGTCTCAGATGAGGAAAACATCTGACTTGTGCTTATTTCACAGAACCAGCCTGTCTGGGCTGGAAGGGATCCTGGCAAATGATTATCATTGCCTAAGAGCCAACTGGGCCAAAAATCCGAAGCTGCTGATTGCAGATCTAGTTGCTTAGCATCCGGTCAGGCCCTGAAACACGTGTTTCTATTTCTAAGCCTGAAAAGCCAGTACTGTGGAAACGTAGAAGGTTTCTCTGGAGCATGTGGAGACAGTTGACTACAGAGTGATCTGTTCCCCTCCTCTGGGCAGAGAAATATTTGCCCTGCTGTGGCCACCACACTGGTCAGTACTTTGCTGTGTAGGCCTGTGTAGTAGGTCTACACAATAGGCCAGTGTTGGCTTCTCAGGCCTCCCTAGAAGGTGCTCAGCGAATGTTTCTGTAATGAATGAATGTATGTGATGTGTTCCAGTCATAGCTAATGGGGGTTCAGTTTTTTCCATGGAAAGAGTTGTACATGGATGTAGACTTGGCCGCTCAGCCAGTTGCCCCGTGTGTCAGGGGCAGGGGGAGACAGCTCCTGTCCCTCATTACAATGTGGCACAGGAGGGCATGTGGGCCCTCAAAACTGAAAGCTCTTGTCTACCTGGGATCTGGAGAGACAGAACACCCTGAGGCGTGAGGGGTGGAGGGAGGAAGGGTGGAGCTGTGTCTGCCCCTCACACACTCATCCCCAAGACTCAGGAGGAGAGAGGAAGGACCCAAGACCCACCAGGAAGACTCCTCAGCTGCTCTCAAGATCTGATACACTGACTTGGACGGTATTAGAGATCTGCTGCCACAGACTAGCAGATTCTTTACTGAGTCTGTGACCAAAAAGTACCTCGGTGGTCTGAGAAATGGGTGGATTAATTAAGAAAGAAGAGAGGTGTTTTAAAAGATTTCAATTTTCACCTAAAGGCTCGGGATGAATCAGCACAGTAATGAGTTGGCATTTTGGGGAGGGGGACATGAAGGGGACAGGTAATCTCAGTGAGGCAATTCCTAATCCGTTAAGGTGCTGCCTTAAGGTCACGTGGGGTGTGTGGGGGGTGTGTGTGTGGGGGTGTGGGGTGGGTGTGTAATGGCTGCAGGTGGAAGTCCTCGACAGCCAGAGCTGTCTACTCAGGTGTATCCTGTGGTCCTTGTTCCCCTTTCCCCTCCCCATGTCAGTCCAGAGAGCGGTTTTTATGGAGTGATGCACCCAGATGGACAAGTCCTGGTGTGCGGTGTGCGCTCGGAGACCTGCCCAGTGAAAAAAGGACGGGTGGGGTGGGGGCGAAGTCCACTTCCCTCCTGGAGGGCAGGCTCAGGATGGGCTGCTCTGCACAGAATTCCAACCTCATGATCCCTGTTGGTTTATAAATCATGAAAATCCTGAAAATTACATAAAATCACGAAAAGTCATACTTTCTCTTCTCACTTTTCTGACTTTTCTACTATAAAAAGTTTCAGCAGACTCAGAAGTGAGCAAGTGGTATGGTAAACTGCACAGACCCTTGATCCAGCTTCCACAAACAGTGTCTGGTGGTTTCTTTCCAGTGTGGGAAAGAAACACATGTTTGGGTGGGTCCTTTGTTTAAGGAACAGCCGTGAGTGTGGGAACTCAGGGTTGGCCGCTCCTGGGGTACATGGGCCCACTGTCCCCCAGCTGCGTGGCGAATGGATTTATAATGGTGGTCGGGGGCATGGTCCTAAGGGCTTTAAAAGGAGAGCACACGAGAGTCTCCCTCTTTCTGCTCCACCATTTTCTGCCATGTGGGACACCTGTATTGCTGTGAAGCCACCACCAAAGAAGACCCTCATCAGACGTGTTCCCTGGACTTTGGACTTCCCAGGCTCCGAAGCTGTAAGCAATAAATTTCGTTTCCTTTATACATCACCCAGGTCCAGGTATTTTTGTTCCAAGCATCAGAAACAGACTAATGTACCCTGCTTCTCATAAGACACACAAACTCCTCCAAGAACTGCCCACCCTCCGGTCTGCAGAATTCTCGCCATAAATAATAGTTAGGAAGGTGCATGGACAAAACACGCTTAAAATAGGCATGAAAGATTAGAAAATACGCAGGAAGACTCAAAAGCCGTCTGATAGACTAGAGAAGGCAGCAGGGAGACACTGTACCTGCTACAGACACAGAGGACGGCAGCCCCTGTGCGCCACCTGGGACTCGGCCCCTCACCACGCTCCGCAGAGCAATCCCTGGGGCTGTTCTGCCACGTTGATCTCCAGCAAGGCCACCTGACCGCAATGCTCAGGACTCCTGCCCCTCCTCCCAAATGTGGCCGCCAGATGCTCCGATCCTCCCTGTGGCCAGTGCCTGCAGCCGCCCACACCCCAGCTCCAAGAGCAGTGTGATTTCAGTCTTTACCCGGTTATAACGGGCACTCCAGTGTGACTCTCACGTAAACGTTTAATCTAAAGATCAGCATTTGAGGACAGGTGCGCCTCCATCCTCCTTCTAGATAAGCAGAGGCCGGGGCCTCATGGGGCAGCTCTGGTGCCCAAGAACACGTCCAGGGTGTCCCCCACGCGTGCCACCTGCACGTCGCAGAAGCCATGCTGCTGCAGCAGGCGTCTGTACTCGCCGCGGCTCCTCTGCCTACCCTGCGTCTGCACCAGTGTGTTCAGCGACTGCATCAGGCTGACCCTGGCTGCTTGCTCGTCGTCCAGCACGGCCTCCACCAGCAGCAGGCTGCCTCCTGAGGAGGAAATGCAGACAGCTAGGAGGTGCCAAGGCGGGGGGACCCGTGTCGGGGACAGAAAGCGCTCAGAGGGAGATGAGGAGGTCACGCAGCAGGAGGCTAACGATGGTACCTGCCCGGGGAAACCAGAGAGAGATGGGAGGGGAGAGACAGAAGCAGAGAGAGAGAGATGGTTGATAGAGAGACTGAGAGATACAGATAGGTAAGGTGTTTGGATGGATAGAACAGAAAGATGAGATACACAGATGATAGTTGATAGACTGATGGGCCATTGACAGATGTGTAGATGACAGATGACAGCTGATAGATGGATTAATGATACAGACAGACAGAGGTGATAAAAAGAGACAGAGACTGGGTGGGGAGAGGGTGGAGGACACAGAATGCGTAGTAAGGAAGGAAGGAGAGGTTGATAATCGACACAGGTAGGTAGACTGTCAGCAGGTGATGGATGGATCAATGGGGGGCAGGTGGAGATAGATAATGGGAAAATAGAGAGGAGGAAGAGAAAGAGAGAGAGGCAAAGAAAGAGAAACAGAGAGGAGGACAGAAGTGTCATGAGCAACCGAGCCTGGGGGGCGGATACCTGCTGCACGCGGCAGGTGCAAGGCCCAGGTTCCTCAGAGGGAATTAAGCGTGCTCTGGAAATACGTGAGGAATGCTTACTGCGGCAAGCGCGCCGAGCTCTGAGTCCTCGGGCAGAGCCAGAGCCCTCCCCGACTCCCTCGGGACCACGCATTCAGCTCTGGGAATCTGATAAGCAACATGGGCCTGAGCTGCTCGGAGCAGGGTGAGCACCAGCCCCGTCCAGTTCCAGCAGCAGTTTGGAAGGTGGTGGAGAGGATGGAGGTGGAAAGCTCTGAGATGCAAAGTGTGCTGTGTGCATGTGTGTGCGCGTCAGTCTGTCAATCTATCCACCGTCCGTCCGTCCTTGTTAGTACCCATCCATCCCTGTCCATCCATCTCTATTCCCCATCTATTCTCCATCTATCTGTCCAGTCATCTGTCGTCCGTCTATATTATGTACTTATCCACCTACCTATCCATCCATCTAACCAGATATAGATATAGACCCCCCCCCCCCCCCCCCCCCCCCCC